CGCTACTCCTTCGGCTGCCGGTACGTCCAAGTGGTCGTGCACCTCCGGGGGAAAGTCGGACTCCCAGTTCAGCCCGGAGAGGCACGTCTTGTGCAGTCCTCCTCGCCCAGCTCGGGGTTGTTGGCTTGAGCGAAGGGCTGGAAGATGCAGCTCAGCCCTCCCATGACAGAGGCCCGCACGTCCTTGTAGGCCTGCTCGTCGGTGCGGCGTCCCAGGCGGCTCCGGGCAGCGTGACGTAGTGGATTGGGTCGAGCCCCGACTGCGCCCGGAAGGAGTCCCGGTAGCTCTCCATCACGTCCGCCAGGGCCAGGACGTCGGTGTGGAGGTAGCAGTCGTGGAACTCGCGGAAGGTCTCCCACCCCATGAGCCGCTTTCCCACCCAGGCAGCACGCTGTCGTAGCAGTGCTGCTCCCACACCACAGGCATCTCCCACCCCTCGGCGCCGCAGAAGTGCTCGAAGGGCATGGGCAGCTTGCGCAGGATGCAGTCCCACGCCTGCTCCAGGTCGCAGTGCGTCCGCCGCTGTTTGAGAGGCCGTCTTTGAGGTCGGCGTGCGCAGCTGCAGCTTGGGGTGAAGCGATGCCATCAGCGGGAAGAGCTCTGGCAGCTGCTTGTGGGTGCAGGCCCTGAGGTCGTCGATCATGCTGGCCAGGCTCGCGGGGAAGACGTTCATGCTGTCCACGAACCTCAGCGGGCCCCTCATCTGCAGGCACTTCTCGCCCGACTTGCAGAGGACTCGGAGGCTGAGGTGGCTGTAGTCGCCCTGCTTGATCGCGGCCTGCAGGGCGCACCAACCGCTGAGGGGCTTTGGCGCGGCCTTGGCCTTGGGCGCGGCCTTGGCCTTGGCCTTGGGTGCAGCCTTTGGCTTTGGCGCGGCCTTGAGCGCAGCAGGAAGTGGAAGTCATAGCCGCCCCCGTTGTGATCTTGGGCGTCTGGGCCGCGATGTTGCAGGAGTGGCACAGCGCCCCGAAATACTGCCCGGTGCCGTGGCAGTGGTGGAGCTTCTTCTCTGAGCCCTCAAGGTCGAAGGACGCGAGGCACTCCCTGCAGTGAGTGGCGGCCCTGTGCTCCAGCTCCTCCCGCCGGGTCATGCTGACGGGCCGAGTTCGGCGTCTCCAGGTGAGGTAGTGGTCGGCCAGCTTGAGAAGGTCATTCAGCATGGTGCGGACGGCGTGGTACTTGTCGCTGTCCCGCTCGTGGTGCGTGATCCTCAGCCTCGCCCGACAGCGACGTAGCAGGAAGAAGCCGCGACGGTCTGGCGCGCCGGCTGCTGCTGCGCTATGTGGACCGTCGGGGCGGGCGTGCTGTAGACCTCGAGGTCCGCGTAGCACGTGAGGGGCGCGAGCTCTGCGGAGGCCTTGCCCCTGTAGCGCAGCAAGCTCTTCTCGGGCCCGGGCAGCGGCACTTTCCGAGTGCGCTCGGCCATCTCTCGATAGCACTGGGCGGCGCGGTGGCGCTGCCACGAAGCGAAGCGGGCCATGCGCCTCGGGCACTTGTACTCCTTGCTGCCGCCAGCGTTGGTGGGCGTGGCTCCCAGGGTCAGCCCCTGTCTGCTGGCCAGCGCCTGGAAGTTGTGGATCAGGCTGTAGTGGCCGCTGTGCAGCAGAAGCAGCACGGTGTGCTGGACGACGCCCGTGCCGCTCGGGGCGTGCTGCTGGAGGACGTGGTAGTACTCCAGCCCGTCCGCCCACAGGGTTCGCTGCCACACGAAGACGAAGACCTCCACCCGCCCGGCGTTGCGGAGCTCGAAGGCGTCGATGTCGTCGAAGCCCACGGGGCGGTCCGTCGGCAGGCCAGAGAAGTCCACCCCCGCGTCGGCCAGAGCGGGCTCCCAGCCCGGGGGGCGCGGTCCTCGGCGGCGGGCCAGCTCGGGGTAGAAGAAGGAGCCCGAGCAGCTCACAGTGCTTTTTCCTTGGCTTGTTCCCACGTGTATTGGCTTGAAACAGTGAACAGGATTCTAACAAATTCAAATAAAGAAAATCAACATAACAACATGAGAAAGGAAAGAAGGAGTGCAACTGCCCGCCCGGCCTCAACGTGCAACGCCAATCGAGCTTGCAGGTGTACATTTTCTCCATGTACTTCTGCCTCAAAGAAAGGGTGGGCGGATCTTGTATGTCAGCTTGATATTGAACTCGGCGCACAGCTTCAGTAGTTTTTTGTGCATTGACTTACTTGCTCCCCACAAAAACGAGGGACAAACTTTCCATGTTCTTGAGGGTAACAGCATATTGTGACTGGGGCTCGTCCAAGTTGCTGGTTTTGCGTTTCTTTTCCTCATTTAATGCCTCGCGAACGTGTCGGTTTTGCGTGCGACAGCTTGACACTTGGGAATCTCAGATCGTTTTGGGCTCAATCTGGCAGAGCGACTGGCTGCATCGAGATGTTTGGACAAGACGCATTTGTGCATAGCTTCGCGGCCGCTGATCTGGTGGATGTGCAGAATGGGGTTCTGAAGCTCCCGCCGCTGGCGGTGTGGGGGAACTTGGCGATTTACATCGTGGCCTGGGCCTTATTGATGTGGCCACAGCATCTTCCCTTGGGTCGGCCCTGCATCGCCATGGTCTTTGCGGCCATGGCTTGTGGATTACGGGAACTTTGCCACAAGGCGTTGTGGACAAAATTTCATGTTCAAAAAATTATGTAATACTCGTTTGGTATCCCCTTTAAAATGACAAAGCTAATATAGCCAATGTTGGGATGACTTTTTGGCAAGGCGTGGCCTGAGCAAGACTATCCGACGGTGGATATCTTCGGCAAAATCAACCCTACGCCCATCGCGCTTCTCTTCGGGCTCATGCTTGTCAATGCCTACCTGAAGGCGGGGGAGGTGAACAGCTCTTTGGTTCTCAAAAGGGACCCAAATTGGCTGTGGTTTCCCTTCACAACCGCACAAAAGTCCCCGTTTGAAGTATCGGCTAGGGGACGATTCCACATTGTTCCACTGGCTCATCAATATTCTGTCTCACTCTAAGCCACAAGGTTTTGTTGCCCTACAGCTCCTTGGAATTCAGGACACTGGCATTTGGAAGTACATGGAAGAGCGTTTGGACACGAGTTCTCCAACAAATATGCTCCTGAAGCTCAGTTGCGCAAAGCTGACTTTGTGTTTTTTTTTTTTCGCTTGTTGGTCCACTTTTAGTAAAGGTCCCAAAAGGTTTTTCTCTTTTGTTTCAAGCTTGGACCCGGTCACTGGGCAAGGAAGCTGTGCTGCGTGTCTGCTGCCACATCCGCGGTGCTGACGAACGACACTACATGTCTGGTGCTGACCCCTGTGGTGCTAAACCTCTGCAGGCGCCGAGGTGCCATCAGCACGTTGCCTTTCTTGATGGCAGTGGCCACCAGTTCGAAGCTTGACATCCTTCACCCATGGCCACTGCTTTCCAAAGCTTGAGATTTTCAGCTTAGGGTTTCCCCTTGGAAATCAACCCCTCGCAAAAAACGGGGACATGGCGCCCTTTGCAATGCCTCATGGAATCCCTCTGAGGAATATAGGCTCCAGCCTTACGATCATTGGCAACCCCCAGAACGCGCTCATTGCATCCATCAGCCCGGACACGGGCTTCTTGAGTTTCATGAAGGACATGCTTCTCCCTGTGATGTGGGGGCTCTCTCTGAACACTATGGCTCTTTGGTGCTATTTTCGAAAGTCTCTTGTGTTCGAGAACCCCGAAGTGCAGCTGGAGATTGATGTAGAGATCGCGGCGCCAGAGAACCGCTGCCTACAGGCAGTCTATGTTGTGGCTGTGGGTGGAGTGGTCTTTGCTATGATTGTCGGGTGGATGTGACTCGGTAGGGGTGAGATGCCCGTGTAGCGGCGTGATTTTCTTTGATTCAATAAGCCTTGAGATGATTTGCGAGGCTTGTTTGGTGTGCGAAGTATCAGAGCAATTCGTGATGAGACATAATTAGTTCTCGGCTGACATACACTGTGCTGCACTTGCGTATGCCCCTGACCCTTGACATGCCAAGGCTCAATATGAACACAGATGATGTGGCCCTAGCTGCCGGCTCCACGCTGATGCTCATCCGTGCTGTGCGACGTCGTGCCGCTGGGCTTGCCAAGACGGGCGACACTGAGACGCAATTTGCTCTGGGGGCCATCGACTATTCGATGCTCGGCGGTTCCAGCCATACCCTCAGACTTTTAGACATTTATGCTTTTGCCTTTGGGTGGGTAAAAGTCGAACTGTTCGCAAGGGATCAACGAACGAAGGATCCTGATCCTCTTCATTGGCCAATTTATCTTGGTCGGTGCCACAGTGGATACTGGCCTGCCGCAGAGGCTCTTCCATGGGATTCTGGGGCCGTGTGCTGACAACTTAGCCTCGGGGCCGCTGTGCATGCTCTGGTTTTCAGCCGTCGTCTTGCTGCTCTCCAACGTCATCAGCAATGTGCCTGTGATTCTCATGCTCCAACCTCTGCTGGCGACGCAGCCGGCTGAATCAGTGGCCAGCATTTGGACGGCTTGTGCGTGGGTTGCCACTGTCTCCGGGAACCTCACCATGCTGGGAAGTGCTGCAAATCTTATTGTGGCTCACACAGCTGAAAGTGAGGGAGAGACTGGTTTTGTTGCGACCAGTTACAGCAAGTTCTCATTGGTTCCAACCCTTGTGATCACCTGCCTCGGAGTATTGTTCCTGCCTCCCATTGGACCAAGCTGGGGGTGGATACTTGGACTGGGTTTGTTGACTTTGATGCTGCTGGCGCTGCTCCTCAAAAGCTTCGCAACTCGATTCGGCGGTGCAGTTTGGGAGGCGTTCCGCCACGTTGCCCTCTGTGGACTTAGCCGAGAGAGCCTGGGTTTGGCGTTGCTGTCGTTTTTTGCCTCTGCTCAACTCCTTGGTCCTTACGAAGGTGCCTGGTTGACCGCCAACTCCACACGGACCTACAACCCAGGAGAGCTGGGAGCACTGAATGCCGTGCAGCAGGTAGTAGTGGCTATCTTACAGCCCTGCCTTGGTTGCCTAGTGGATGCTTGCCACGGCAAGCGCCGGCTTGTTGCTTTGGGTAGCGCCTGTGCTTTGCTCAGCGCGGCAATCGGCGTCTTTGTCCCACAGTTCTTCTGGTTGGAGATGGCTCTGCAGGTCCCGACCGCCATTTCCATGACGTTGGTGCCCTTGGCTCTCAACTCTCTCACCTTGGGTGCCGAGAATTTCACCCGGCAGGTGGCCCTGAACAATGTTGGTCTACACTTGGGCGCCGTTCTGAGCTCCGGCGCCATGTGCCTCCTCGCCAGCGTCAAGGATTCCTCCGGAGGAAAAGACGTGGAGAGCCCCTGGTGGAGTGCCGTGCCCATGGCGGCCTGCGTTCTGACGATTGTGGCCTTACCCATGGTGCGCAAGGTGGAGTTCCGGGCTGATGGAGTCGAGGCCGAGTCACTTGAATCGGAGGTGACCAGCCAGGGTCGCTCCGGACTGTGGACCCGAAAGTTCTTCATTGTGCTGGCTCTTTGCTTCCTATTTAACTTTTCCAACATGGCACAGCTGCAGTTGCTGGTGCAGGATGCCTCGCGCTTGCTGCCCGGCCAAGCAATCAACTTCACCAGTGCGGCGCAGGTGATTGCGCATGTGGGGATGCTGCTTGCCTCCGTGGTGGCAGGGCGCCTGGCGGATTTCGGGCGCAAGCCTTTGGTTGTGACTGCTTGCCTCACAGTGACCATCCGTGCTCTTCTGACGGCCGCAACAGATGTTTGGTATGTCCAGGCGGGTTGGGTCTTTCTTGGGATGCGTTTGTAACCCATCCGAAGGGCACCAAACCCCTCCCCTTTTCAGGCGCCTTTTTAAGCCCCCGTGTCAAGGCGGGCGGCTCCCCGTGGCTGTCATTGTTGCCCTGCGAGACCCTGGATGGCGTGTGTGCCGGACTTTGGCTCATGCTGATGGTGCTGATGGCGAAGGATGTCTCGGAGAACACTGGCTGCTTCAGCTTGGCTTTGGGCTGCCTGCAGGCCGGCCACGATCAAGAATGCGAATGGACAAACGGGTCTCTCAGGCAGAGGTCCCCGTGACACTAGCAACCGGCCAGCTTCTGAATGTAACTTTTACAGCAATGACAGTACTGAGAAGCTGTACTCGGTTAATATATCAACTTTGAAGAATCGTATTGAGAATATCAATGAGAACCACTTTTTCCGTTGCAAAACAGCCATGCCGTACATGTTGCCGTGTCTTGCCGGTTTTGTGCCATGGTCAAAAGACCCTTGTATATACTTGGTTTTACTATTGACGGTGGATGGTCATGACGCCTTTGGTAGGAAGTAGGAAGAGCCAACCTGGAAAGGATTCCTGTTGAGGAAGCCAAGAGCATACGCCCACGTTTCGGTTGTTTTCTCTATAGCACATTTGGTATTGTTGACAAGGGCCAAGGGGCCCCAATCTGATAAAAGCGACAAACCAGGCCTATGAGGGGCTCTTCGGGGGTCGCTGACAACCATGTGGAACATGTTGTTGGTGTTTCTCACCGCCGCATTCTGCTTTCTGAAGGCTGCTTTCAGTGTGGGCGCAATCTTTAGCTCAGAGCTGGCCGGCATCTTGGCAAGCCGCCTGGGCTTTGCCGCCGCCTTCTTGTCCTTGGCAGTGGTGGGCATGCTGTCCTTCATTCTGGCGCTGCTCATGCCTGAAACCCAAGCGCTTCAGGTTGAAGAGATAGACCTTCAAGTTGAGGTTCAAGAGGGAAGTTCTGAAAGGTCGACCCAAGTCCTTGAAGAGATTCAGTCGAGCCGTTGCGAGCGCTTGATGACATTCTCCCAGAGCTGCCGCAGCTGGATCGCTTGATGGCTCAATAGAAGGCCTGAGAGAATTAGGCAGCTCAGTGTGGAATTAGCTAGCTATAGACAGCTTTTGCAAGCTTGTAAAGTCATTCTTCATGTGATTTGTCTGATGCAGTGCTCGAGGGCAACATGCAAAGTGCTTGCCGGTGCATAGTCATTTTTTTATTTTATTTTGTGTGATTTGTCTTGATGCAGCGCTTGAGGGCAACATGCAAAGTGCTTGCCGGCGAATCTTGCGCGCTGAAGACCCAGCAATTCAACTTCATAGTCTGATGTACAGTGCAATGACCCAGACTGAAGCGGGCAAAGCACGTACTGCAATCATCTGAAACCATTATACAGTTTCGACAGATGCGTCCCAAAAGATATGGTGGCCCAGCGCCGTCGGCATTTGACAGAGGTGGATTTTTGATTCATGACATGGTCTCTCAGCTCTTTTTGCAGCATTCTTCACTGAGGCGAGCTCTCCGTGTGTTGATTTATGCCGCCTCACAACGGTTGTCATGGGCAGTTGATGTGCTCCTGTCAGGCATTTGGCCCAATACAAGTGCCGGCAACGCTAATGCAGGCATGCAGATGTCAGTGCTGTGATCTCGCTTGTTCCTATTCACCTCAAATCCATGGTCGCACAATCCGAGGCAACCCTTACGGAATCATTCTTCCGTCGCTTTATCCTAAGCACACTGCCGCTTGTTACGTTGAGAGGATTTCGCCATTCCCTGGCCGATGCGGCGGGCAAGCCTCGCACCTATGTTTGAAGGAGTGACGTGATACTCACCTGATGCGCAGCCCCCAAACTTGATTTGCCCTTTACGCAACACCAATGTTTAGTCAGCCAAGCCAGAAACAGCCAGTCAGCATGATCCGAGCTGCCGTGCAAGGTGATGATTCTGGAGGCCCCTTGGAATGAGAGAGGGAACGAGAGAGGGGAGGGGCACTCAGTGCTCCCACCATAGCTTTGCATCCTGACCTGACATTTTCCAATTGGAGCTCTTTCCCCTCGATCGGGTTGGGATTTTCTTAAGGAGGGTTGTAAAAACGCAAAGGGCACCGAACCCCATTTAAGGCTCAACAGTGCCCCAACCTGAGGTTTGGAGGCGGCCAAGGAGAGCGGAAGATTGAGGCTTTCGATGGAAGCAGGTTCAAAGTTTCTTCGGATGTGGTAAGAGCAGTGTCTCATTTGGCAGCCACTTTCACTTCTGATGCTTCAAGGTCCACTTAGCGCTGGTTCCAGCAAGGCACATTGTCCAAGTTAACATGAGCTGCTTGCATCCAGGAGGCTTCGCCGCAATCCGTGGTGTCTACAGCAGGCCAGATTGAGACGCCCAGTAGGAATGGCATTCAGTCGCCAGTCACCAGATGTCCGCTCGAACACGGCTAACGAACTTGTCAAAGCTGCAGAAGGACCCAACCTTGACACATCCCGGAGAGGGACTATCGAGAGGCGACCAGAGCTCCCGCCTGCTGGAGCAGATGAGGGCCTGTGTGCTGGCCGGGGCCCGGCTTGTCCCTTTCGCTTGGCAATGGCGATGCATTTTGGGAAGTTGGAAATCCATGAGTCCATGAGGTGCATCACCAGCTCAGCTGCCTTCTGATCCATTCTGCGGCACTTCAAGCTGGCGGCAACCTTGTGAAAACTAAGCGGATCAGATCCAAGACCATTTGCCGGTTGCTTGTGGGTCAGCAGCAGCTTTTCCACAGGTATCTGCTAGACATATGGCAAGCGCATGTAACATCATGTAACCAGGTGCCTCTGTGCTAAGGCCTCTATGATGGCGAGGCAGATAAGGCCGGTGATGCGCGTTTGTGTCCCTGACTGCATGACCCAGAGCTTGCACTGTTGGAGCGGGGGCTCACTCAAATTCTCCACAACCAGGGCAACAGAGCCCGACAATTCTCCCTTGCCATGGGCACGCCACATTTGGACCGAAGGGCAGGGATCGAAAAGTGATGGTCTTCCGCTGGTTTCCCTCTTGAATGAAAACGTTGAAAACAACTTAAAAATGCCCGATCCTCAAACAAAGGGCCATTTGACAGCGTGATCATCGGTGTGTCCAGGGCCACGCTCTGCGCAGCTCCATCCAGAGCCTCGGGGGCTCCACGGTGAGGGCCCAAGGACTTGCTAAGGGTTCCTTCAAATAGAAAAAGGGGCACCGTTTTGGAGGTCATCCAAAAAGAGGCACACCCATATGTGCTCGTCTTTTCTGGTAGAGGATTTGAGGCCAAGGCAATGCTTGATTTTGAAGGAGCCCTTGGTTAATTTAAAAGCAGCGAGTTGTGTCACCAGGTTTCTACATGTAACACGTGATTTTGAGAGACGTGAGGCGCGGCTCTTTTGCATGGCGCTGAGGGATCAGAAGGCGAGCGGGCGAACTCGTCGCGCTCGCTTGGCAGCTCGCGAGTCGGGTAGATGAACTTTGTCGGGAGCCATTCTATTTCAGGTTGGTAAGCCTTTTGAAGTCACCCACGGTTTCAGGGTAACTTTGTAGTTCCAGTGTGTTTGGACCAAGGGTAAGTGAAGCCAAAACAGGCACGGACAGGGGGCCCTTGATTGGCTTTGAGCAGAGCATTTTAAATACCAGATGTTGATTGTGACTCAGATGCGAAGGTGCTTGAAAAGAACTCTGCGAACGGGCCCCTAACATAGTGGGTACTGGCATGTAAACCTTCGGATTGGGAGGTGCAACCCGCTTTGCGCGTGCAATCCTTTGTTGCGAGGAAAACTCTGGACTAGTTTGCAAGGTTTATCAATCCGGGGTCGATGAGAGCAATGATTTGGAGCCCCGGAAAAGGCGAGGGAAGGGCTTTGCCCCTTTAAAGGTCCCCAACCAGCTCAACATGCCACATTTGTAAAGTCCTCTTGTAGGCATGCACAACTTGTTCCGAAAAAGGGTAGCCAAGGGACAACTGCGTGGAGTGATACTGGATGGGTTTCTGGCATGCGAGGCAGCTCAGGCGTGAAGCCCAAAGGCACATGCATTTAAGGCAATTTTGTTGCTGCTTGTCGCTGGCTTGCAAAGGTGCAACAGCCGAAGTAAGGACTGTTGCAACCCCCCCCCCCCCAGCGGCCCAATCCTGCTGCGAAAGGATCAGGATATTGGACGACAGAGTTTGACTTCCTGGCAGTCGAAGTCGTGGTGGCAAAAGATGCAACAGCAGCAGAACGAGCAGGCAGTGCGGCACACAGAGGCCTTGCAAGCTCCGGCAACAGTGGCGACAGCAACTGCTACAGCAACAACAAACAGCCGCTGTGGTTTGGCAGTCGCTGTGGCCGCATCGCTGCGACAGGACTTGCACTCCATGGGGGAGACGCTGGGCAGCCGGGTGGATGAGATGGTGGAAGGCCACACCTCGAATTCTGAAAGCTTTCTGACCATATGAAGCATGTTTGCTGATTTCAGCCTCAAAATAGAGCTACCCTCAAACAAAAAGACGAGCCACCCTTTTGGTTGTGCCTCCAGGCTTGCAGGCAGAGCTCTGCCTTGACGACGAGGCCAGGGATCTGCAAAATGTTGAGGCCTTTTTGGTCCACTGGGAGCCCAAGATGGCCGGCAAGACAGAAACTCCAAAGCTCATGCCCTCTCTACGTTGCCCTAGTTGATGGATATGCTTGTGGGCTTCCACCACTATCCAGGGTTTAATGGAATGCAGGATGTGCAGCCACTGTGTAAAGGGTACCCCGTTTTGCCCTGAGCATGCCCAATGTTCCTAAAATTGTTGGGGCAATGAAGAGCGTCGATCGGCCGTGCTTGCTTTGGGCTTAGGATGTCTCAGCACTCGCGGAGTGCAGTCAGTTGGAGAATCAGCTTGCAGCCTGCCGCAAAGAGGCCGGGAGTGCACAGAGCCGTGCATTCTATTGGACATATCCCTGTTTTGGCCAGCTTAAGATTGGAAAGTGGTTGCGGGCTTTGTCCAAGGGATGTCTGAGTGGCCAGGGTCGCAGAAGGATGTTTGTTGCAAGCTTTCTCTCACCTTGCAAGCTGATCAGCTCGCATGATTTACCAAAGGGTGTCTGAACTGAGTGTAGGGACTGTGTTGCAACAGGCAAAAGGAAACCAGCAGTTTTGTTCCGTCCGCAAACGTCATCTATCCACAGAGACATTGAGAAGAGTTTGCGAACCTTTCCAGGACCATCTAAAGGTGAAACTCCATCTGAAGGCATTAGGGGTATACCACCTCAAAAGCCGTCCGTTGTATCTGTTGTGGAACTCCCCAATCAAAAACCAGAACCCCGTGGGGTGGTGAATGAACCATCATTTTTGGAGGAGTCTCTCTTGAGGATCCTTTTTGGCTTCATGTAGGGTTTTGGGAATGAACCTGGGGGCCTTGAAGGAAACCATAAAGGGGCACAGCTGCGGGGGTGCCCCCCATTCCCTGCTGAGAACCAAGTTTCGGGCCGCCCGTGGGCTTTTTGCTCGAGGCCAAGCAGCTGAGGGCCAAGCTGACGGGCGAGGATCGGGACCACCGCCGTACCGTGGGGGCGCCTGAATGAATCAAAGGATGCATCACTACGCCAAGGCCCCAAAGTAACTTTGAGAGCTTCTCGAGATGTTCAGTTTAAGGGAGTCCTGGCCCTTTTTTTATTGGGGAAGGGTTGTCTTTTCCATCTGATTTCCTAGATGACAGCTCGATGCCAAAACCCATAAAAGCTAGCCTGGAAACCAAGCATTCCAGGGCCACTTTTTTGAGAACCTCCCGCATGAGCGGATAAAATTGCGCAGGAACATAAACTCCCTGACTTGCAGGACCAGGACGCCAAAGGGAACTCCTTTTGGAAGCCAAGATGTATTTATTTGCTTTTCGGAGAACTTGGAGGCACCCGCCGGAGTGAGGTCTTTGAACAAGCCGCCAGGGTGCACTCATTGGAGCAGCGCCGCGAGGCCAGGGGGTTTAGGGTTTAGGGTTCCGCAGACCCATAGGTCTTGAAACTGGACCTTTGACAGACATGCAATCATCCCAATGACACTGAGCATGGTTTCCTGCTTGCACGGTGTAATCACGTGAAGGATGACTAGATTTGGGATTTGGGTGGCAAGTTGTTGCAGGCTCTGGATCACGCCATGGACGACCTGCTCGCAGCAGGCCTGTGAGAGCCAAGGTGTTGCTCCTTGTGCTCCCTTTGATGCGTGCAGATGTTGTTTATGATTGCAATTTGAATCATTCCTTCGTTTCCGCTCCACCGTTTGTTGATTGCCGAATCAAACCGCGACCTATGATTGCCTAGTTTCCCTTTTCTCGGTCTCTCTTGAACACCATCCCAAAACGGGTTCCGTCCGTTCCGACTCCAAAGAAAATAGCTTCCGTTCCCGTTGGTTTTCCTTCGGAGCTTCCTCTGGTGACAGCTCTTTCGCTAGGCCTGTCGGCAGAGGCAGCCCGGGGCCCAGCAGCGCAGGCCTGCTCGCCGCGAGCTGTGCAGCGAATTGGACAGACATGGGTGGCTCGTCTCTTTCGGAGGGTACCTCGATTTCGTGGGTGTAAAGAAAAGCTAGAAGGAAAAGGACACGGGAGAAAGCAACCCTTTGGAAGGGACGATGCTCCGAAGCAACCCAGAAGGAAGGAAGGCAGGCAGGAAGGAAGGATGGAAGGAAGGAAGGAAGGAAGGAAGGTCCCAACAGGCCACCTTGTAAGGGGGAACATAGAGTCCTGTTTGAGGAGTCCTGTTTTGTGGTTTTCCCGCTCTCCTTTCGTGAGTTAGGACGGGAGCTCCTTCGCCGCGCTCGGCGCGGCGCGTGCCAGGCGGCTCGCAACTTGCTGGGCCGTGAGCGCCCCGAGTCACATGGCGGGGGCCCTCGAACCGGAGATTTTCCGCGCTCGGACTCCCAACTTCTGGTTTTAAAAGGATACGTTTGGGCCAGTTGAAAAGTCACTCTTAGCTTTACATCTCTTGTGAAGAACGTATCATGCAAGGAACAATTACCCTCTCCTGCTTTCCAACCTTTGTTTGGGAACCGAAATCCAGCTGGGAGGGGAACTGAGGGTATGAGACTCTCCGTCCATCCATTTGGCATTGCAAATGATGCGGCATACCCTCCCAAATGGCTCGTGGATATAACTCCACACGTACATGATGTTCACCAGAGGCTTCCCAATTAAAATTTAGACCAATATCAAACTCGACAAAGCCCATGGTCCGCAAATTGCCCGAGAATGCGCCACCATTGACATCGCGACTGGATTTTGCTTACAAAGTGAGCAACGCCTTGGCACGCGACTCCTGCACCTGGGATGCGGGCTCCAACTTGTTTTCCGCTCTAAATCTCAAGCCACCACATCCGGCGGCAAGAAAGAGGGCTGTTTTCCGCTCTCCCCGATTTCGCAAGAACACCCGACCCGAGGTGTCCCATGCGCGACTCTCTTTTGCTTGTTTGAAACTTACCACAAAAAAGGTACAGGTGCATCCACTACTTTCCAACCGAGCCATCTACCAACTCAACTTGCGGACAGAGTGGCTCTCCGAGGCCCTTTGCAGCGGCAGCTGCATCAGCACCAGCTGGAGCGGCCCGCGCCTGCGCCCGGGCCTTGCCCCCAGGCTTCGACCAATACCAATGATTCCCGTTTTGTCCCAAAGCTCTGCCCCCATCTTTTTCTCCTGATTCCAAAGTTGTTTTGGGCACTTTTCGGGGCCAACTTTCCGACGTCCTTTTCACTGCGAGGCATCGGGCACCAGTGCGGATGCAGGACGGCTGTCGAGCTTAGGTGAACTTTGTTACTGTCGTACTGTTTGTTTTTAGATCCGGTCAGCTAGAGCAGGACGTGCGTATTTATCCACTTAGTAGGTGGGGCTGTCTTTTCAGGTGCCGATTGTTGCCTGCCTCCGCGCAGGCTGCCCCTGTGGTGAGGTCCACAGGCACAGGAGTTTTCACGCGGCAAGTGCGTCCCAATTGCCCTGGATTCAGAGGATTGCTTCAAAAGGCGGTCGGTTTTAGATGTTGCTCATATCTCGAGGGTCTTCCGTGCCGCCTGAGGCTCGGTGACAATCACGCAAGGGGACCAAAGCTAGCCGCAGCTCCAACAGATCCCAAGAGCAGCACCAGAGCAAGCTGGGCACAAGGGTTCGGTGCTTTTTAGCTTCATTTGCGAACCTTTCTAGAGCAAGAGTTTCCTGATTTTTGCTAGACATTAACAATTGATACTCTTTCCCGGATTCTGGCAAGTTTTAGCTGGGTGAACCATCATTTGCCTTTGGCTGTTCGAACCATAATTTATCCAGACGTCCGCCATGTCCCTGACGCTTCACGTCGTGTTGCTCTCCGGGAACTCTGCGGCGGTCTCGGCGGCTCGGCTTGGCGTTTGAGGCGTTTGGGGCGTGTGGGGCGTGTGGGGCGCGTGTGGGGCGTGTGAAACCCTACCTGCTTTGATTTGGTTCCAATGCAAAAAGTGATGGGTTTTGGTCGCCTGAGTTGCTCCCGACTCTCCCTCACAGCGACAAAGCACCAGGAACATGCCTGAAAACAAGCTTTCCTCTGAGAGGCAACCCTCTCTCAGGTGCCATATTAATGGGGAGCCAAGAAGTACCGGGCCTTAGGCAGGTGGTTCTGGATTTTCCATACCGGGCAGATTGACATGCAGCCCAAGAGCCAGGGTTCCCACGCAGGTCCAAAGATGATTGGGTTTGCTAAAGGGTTTCTCTTCAAATGCCAACTAAAAGATGATGGATCCGAAAAGATGAGTTTCGTGTGGGATGATTGGGTTTGCTTTTGGTTTCCAAGATGATTGGGTCCGAAAAGTTGAGTTTCTTATCAGTGTCCCATGTGTTTTTGGTTTCCCTTGTCCCAAAATACAAATTTCCCTTTCACACAAATTCCTTAAATCCCTAAAAATCCGTATATCCTACATCTTGGTTTCCCTTCGAAGCTCCATGCTCCATTTCAAGAAGGTCTTCCCCCACTCCCTGGCGAGCGACGTGAAGCGCCTGGCTGGGGATGTGCTGGGCGTGGCCGTGGGTGAGCTGCTGGATCGCCGCGGCCGGCTGCTGACGGGCTCCGTGGAAGAGGCGAGCTCCACCGATTTCAGGGGCTAGAACAAGGGATTTTACCATGGCCTCCTTTCCCGGGAACTTTGCATTCAAATAGTTCGGCCGAATTGGCCCTGTGATGTGGTTGCTAGGCAAAAATCGACGCTTGCCCCCCCTCTCCCCAAAAAAGATGCAGGGTTCTTGAGCTACTTCTACGTAGGCTGCTTGTTTGGGACTCCTGCAAGGTAAGCCTTTCGGCTGGGCGATTTCCCCTGGCATTTGAGGCTGGCCTGGCGGACGGGGATGTGGTCTCCGCGACTGTGCGCCGCGCGCGGATCTACAGCAACCTGGCCTCCGGCGTCTTCGTCCTGGTGAGGCGGGCCGTCAAGCCACCCGTCCCCCTTCCATCTTCCTCTCCTCTTCTCCTTCCCTCCGCAGGGCGGACGGCCTGGCCGTGCCCTGGGGCGACCCAGAGCTGGGCGGCGGCGGCGTTGCGGTACGGTCGGTGGAGGCGGCGGAGGTGGCGGCCCGTGCCGTGGCGGTGCGCCTGGCCGACGGGACCGTGAAAGCCTGGGGGGACCCCGAATGGGGCGCGATCTGCGCCATGGTCCAGGACAGGAATTCAAAGCGGACAAGTCCGCGTCTCAGCCTTCAGAGGACATATATGGTTGAACAACACTTCTCTTTTTTGGTAAGCAGCTTGCAACAAGTTTAGCGTTTGGGAGGTTATGACTTCGCGTCTTTGAAACGGGTACCTAGACCAATTTTATTCCAGGGACCCTCGCATCCATGTTCACCCTTGAAACAGCTCGGGAACAGCTGGGGTTTTCAATTTTGGATCCAAAGCGCTGCCAGGACAAGCTGGTGCCCTGGCAATGGCTCTGATGGGCTGGCGGCTGGTGGGAGAAGGGCGTGTCTTGAAATGGGAACCTCTTGGATGAAGCGAAGCCAAACGAGCTGACCATTTGGGAGTGTTCTTGTATTGCCTGAATGGGTTGCTTCTTTGATTTGCTACCCACCAGTTGGGTATTGTTGTGAGAGTTGTAGCAGTTTGAGTGGAAGTGGAATATATCATAGGTCATTGTCGAAACATTTCCAGCAGGCTATGGCTGCTTGCGCTCGCTAAGCCTGATCTCTAGGTACCGCCACCAACCAACCAAATAGGCGGAGGCAAATGACGACAGCTTTTTCGGCAAAGGCCTTTTGGGTTTCTTTTGGTCACGCGGTGTCCCAACATCCTTTTTGGCTGTCCTCGGGTCGCAACATGGCTCCCCCAACAAAAGGAGCCGTGTCCAAAAAGGTTTCATTGAAAAAATAACCAGAGGGCTTTCCCCACCAAAATGACAGTTTCATCTGGCTTCCCCTGCAAACCACTCAAAAGGCAGTTTCCCTGGGTCTCCATTTGGTTTCAGGGGGCTCACCATGTTGAACCAAGAGGGTCCAACAATAAGAGCGGCGCATCCCTTTAACTTTTGTCATCCCTTCAAGCCAACCAAAAGTAGGCTTGAACAAGCCAAACGCTGGCCAAAAGATCGGCTTCCCCCAACAAAGCAGAACAACTCCATTCGGCTTCCCACTAGAGGGGTGGTTCCCCTCGAAAGAGGAACCCTGCCAAGGTGGAGCCCATGCAATTTGTCGCCCGAACAGCGGGGCGTCTTCGCGTCTCTGCCGCTTCGAGGTGGGCGTTGTGGAGCTCAAGGCCTCCGGCGGCGCCTTCGCTGCGCGGCGGTCCGATGGCTCCGTGGTGACCTGGGGCATCGGCGGCCACGGGGGCGCCAGCAGCCGGGTGCAGGCGGGGGACCGAGATGGAGGCCATGAGGCCATGGACAGGCGAATCAGAACGAAGCAAATCATTTCAGGCCATTAGGTCAGGGGGCGCTGGTAGATGCTTTGTTTGTTTGTGTGTTTGTTTGTGTGCTTGTTTGTTTGTTTGTTTGTTTGTTTGTTTGTTTCCTGATTGGCTGCGAGTTTGGTTGAGATCTTCAGATGGATTCCACTGACCAAAGGGCCGAACTCTGATTTTCCCAGTGGCATTTTTGACTGAAACAAGGATTTGAGCATCACGTTTTGGGAAGACCGAGTTGGAAAAGAGTTGTCATCCCCATGTTGGGTCAAGGCACCTATTTACCGGCACCGCCAAGCTTGGCTTCCATCCAATATATTGTATGTATGTACGAACGGTATGGTATGGTATGGTATGGTATGGTATGGTATGGTATGATATGGTATGTAAGTGCGTATGTAAGTGCGTATGTAAGTGCGTATGTATGTATGTATGTATGTATGTATGTATGTATGTATGTATGTATGTATGTATGTATGTATGTATGTATGTATGTATGTATGTATGTATGTATGTATGTATGTATGTATGTATGTATGTATGTATGTATGTATGTATGTATGTATGTATGTATGTATGTATGTATGTATGTATGTATGTATGTATGTATGTATGTATGTATGTATGTATGTATGTATGTATGTATGTATGTATGTATGTATGTATGTATGTATGTATGTATGTATGTATGTATGTATGTATGTATGTATGTATGTAATGTATGTAATGTATGTATGTATGTATGTATGTAATGTAATGTATGTATGTATGTATGTATGTATGTATGTATGTATGTATGTATGTATGTATGTATGTATGTATGTATGTATGTATGTATGTATGTATGTATGTATGTATGTATGTATGTATGTATGTATGTATGTATGTATGTATGTATGTATGTATGTATGTATGTATGTATGTATGTATGTATGTATGTATGTATGTATGTATGTATGTATGTATGTATGTATGTATGTATGTATGTATGTATGTATGTATGTGTATGTATGTATGTATGTATGTATGTATGTATGTATGTATGTATGTATGTATGTATGTATGTATGTATGTAATGTATGTATGTATGTATGTATGTATGTATGTATGTATGTATGTATGTATGTATGTATGTATGTATGTATGTATGTATGTATGTATGTATGTATGTATGTATGTATGTATGTATGTATGTATGTATGTATGTATGTATGTATGTATGTATGTATGTATGTATGTATGTATGTATGTATGTATGTATGTATGTATGTATGTATGTATGTATGTATGTATGTATGTATGTATGTATGTATGTATGTATGTATGTATGTATGTATGTATGTATGTATGTATGTATGTATGTATGTATGTATGTATGTATGTATGTATGTATGTATGTATGTATGTATGTATGTATGTATGTATGTATGTATGTATGTATGTATGTATGTATGTATGTATGTATGTATGTATGTATGTATGTATGTATGTATGTATGTATGTATGTATGTATGTATGTATGTATGTATGTATGTATGTATGTATGTATGTATGTATGTATGTATGTATGTATGTATGTATGTATGTATGTATGTATGTATGTATGTATGTATGTATGTATGTATGTATGTATGTATGTATGTATGTATGTATGTATGTATGTATGTATGTATGTATGTATGTATGTATGTATGTATGTATGTATGTATGTATGTATGTATGTATGTATGTATGTATGTATGTATGTATGTATGTATGTATGTAATGTGTATGTAATGTATGTATGCATATATATAATATATATGGTACAGCGTTGCCAACCCCCCCCCCCCCCCCCCCCCCCCCCCAATGGTCATGGGTCAGACAAGTACCCCCCCCCCCCCCGCCCCCTGTGGTTGTGGTCCTGTGGTTGGGTTGTGGTGGTTTAGGGTTGGTTTATGGGTCAGACAAGTACCCCCCCCCCCCCCGCCCCCTGTGGTTGTGGTCCTGTGGTTGGGTTGTGGTGGTTTAGGGTTGGTTTAGAATTGGTTTAGGGTATATTTAGGGTGTATTTAGGGTTAGTTTAGGGTTGGTTTAGGGTTGGTTTAGGGTTGGTTTAGGGGTGGTTTGTGTTGATTTAGGGTTGGTTTAGGTTTAGAGGTGTACTGTTTAGGGTTTGGTTTAGGGTTTGGTTTAGGGTTGGTTTAGGGTGGGTTTAGGGTTGGTTTAGGTTTAGGGTTTATTGTTAGGGATTGGTTTAGGGTGTATTTGGGGTTAGTTTAGGGTTGGTTTAGGGTTAGTTTAGGGTTGGTTTATGTTGATTTAGGGTTGGTTTTGGTTTAGAGGTCTACGGTTTAGGGTTTTGTTTAGGGTGTCTTTAGGATTGGTTTAGGGTTAGTTTAGGGTTGGTTTATGGTTGGTTGCGGGTTGGCTTGTCCTGGGAGTGGGGGTGCCGGGGTGCGAGTTCAGGGGGGTGGGACCGTAGGTGCCAGGATCCGGCGGCTCGGGGCTCGGGCTGGGGGGGGGTTTTGGGGGACCCATACCATATGGGGGGGGGGGGGCGGGGTAGCAACACGGAAGACGGGACCATATATATATATATATATATATGTATGCATGCATGCATGCACGCATGTATGTATATATGTATGTATGCAATTAGTGTATGTATGTATGTATGCATGCATGCATGCATGCATGCATGTATGTATGCATGTATGTATGTATGTATGTATGTATGTATGTATGTATGTATGTATGTATGTATACAATGTGTATGTATTAATGCAATGTAATGTAACGCAACGTAACGTAACGTAACGTATTGTAGTGTAATATATGTATGTTACGTTATGTTACGTTCTGCAATGCAATGTCATGTCATGTAGGGTAATATAATGTAAGGTAATGTACGGCAATGTAAGATAATGTAATGTAAAACGTACTGTACTGTACTGTAACGTACTGTACTGTGCTGTACTGTGCGGTGCTGTACTGTACTGTACTGTATGTATGTATATAAAATCGACTTTGGCCACAAGTCTGCTCAACAAGATCAGCCCAAACAACTTGGCAGTGATTGTGGAGCTACCGGACAAGCCGAAAACGGCCACAGACATCCGCCATGCGCCATGGGAGCGAAGCAAAGGCGCTGATGCTGGAAGGCACGGGCGCTTGTCCATCGATTAGGTTCAGCAGGCCTGGAGCATGGGGGCTGTGAGCGCGATGACGATGAAGCTGACGCGCCGCCGTGCGATGGCCCGTTGATGCCCCGAGCTCGAGGTGATCCTGGAGGAGGTGATCCCAGAGCAAAAGCTGCGGCTGCCGACTTTACTCGGCAAGGTGACGAAGGACAAGGCCAAAGTTGTAGATCTTGGAGCTCAAGGTCGGGTCTGGCAATGCGGAGCTGGCCGTGCTCAAGAAGAGGCTGCAGCGGGGCAGGACATTCGAGTGCGGCTTGGCTCCAAGGCTCACGAGCAGAAGGAGATCATGGCCAAGGGGAAGGAGCTTTCTTTGCCGACTCTCCTTGACAAGAAGGACATTTGCCGGAATCAATGGAGGTGCCGCGGGGCAGCAGCAATGACTATGGAGGAGAGGCCCTTGGCCCATCTTTGGAAGGAGGGCCAGCTGCTCATGGCCCAACGTCGGGTACGGCTATGCGGAGCGTTTAAGGTTCACGAGCAGAAATCATGCAAGAGGAGCCGCTCTCGGCCGCTATCCGCGGCGAGGATGCAGCGGTGGCAGAGTCTGATCGAGCAGGCCTTCACTGGCCCGGCCCGTGCGCGAATGCATCCAGGTGGCCGGAAGGGCGCAATGCCGTGGAAGCTGCTCACCTTTTCACCGCCCTGACAGTGGTGCTTGGCGGCCTTGTGTGCAGGCAGGCGTGAGCTTTCCGCACGCTTCTGCATGTGCATAGCCCCTACGTGGCCAAGCTTATGATGAGAGACGCAAACAAACCTGCAGCCCGCCCAGCTCCTATTTTGCATGGGCTCTTCATGTAGTGAAAAGCTGAAGGCCTGCGGTCATGTGCAAGCTATGTAGCGCAACACCGCATGTAAAAGATCATGTAGCATCTTTTCATGAAAAGAAATGTTGTTCATCCATGCTACTGTAGCAGAGTTCGTAAGGTAGCGCCTGATGTTGTAGTACCGCGTGTGGTTTCAGCCAGTAGTCGCGTTGGGACTGGCGAAGGTCCTGTGGTGATTGGACCGTTGTGGACTCGCTTATGTAATTCAATTTCCTAACCTGAGCCCCTTGTTCTGTTGATGTCCTTGATTGGGTTGACAGGCGTCGTGATGTGCAGTTGCCTGAGTGTGTGTAGGAGCTGAGAGTGAAGTGCGTCTGAGACGAGCCGTGCATGTTGCAGTGTGTAGCGCGTTGGGCCGTGCTGTTGTCGTGGTGTAGGCTGTAGAGGTGGAGAAGTTGCTGGATGCTGAGCAGGAGGTGATAGCCCCAAACGTAGCCGTTGTACAGGGTGTAGTGACGGGTGAAGTTGTTGAAGTTGAAGTTGACCAGTGAAGCTCCCTGGTAGTATTTCATGATGTGGTCACGGACCAAGTAGTTCAGTGCGTTGTCTTTGTGCGGGCATGGCCTGGAGTAGGATGGTCTGGTTGATGTGTAGGTTGAAGTTGCTGGAGTTGTGTGCGTTGAGTGGTAGTGGTGCTGGAGTGGTCTGTAGTTGGTCGTAGCGGGCCTGTAGTTGGGCGAAGTTGTGATCTGGTAGTTGAACAGGTGTAGTCGTCTCTGGTGTAGGCGACATGCCAGCCTCGTCCTCAGCGATTGTAGTCGCGAAGCGGTCCATGGCTGTAGTCCTACAGTGAAGTGAAACTGGGGTGCCTAAAATAAGCGCGTGGTCGCAAGCAGGAAGCCGGCAGAGATGCAAGAAAAACAATCAAACGAGCATGTAGTGTTGACAGCCCCAAAAGTGCAAGTGACAGTACATGTAGTTACCGTTACTTACATACCAAAAGTGTCATGCTACATGTAGCTGCTACATACGAAATGTTTGAACCCGTTGTTGTTGTTGTTGTTGTTGTTGTTGTTGTTGTTGTTGTTGATGTTGATGTTGATGTTGTCGTTGATGTTGATGTTGTTGTTGGTGGTGGTGGTGGTGGCGGTGTTGTTGTTGGTGGTGTTGTTGGTGGTGTTGTTGGTGGTGTTGTTGGTGGTGTTGTTGGTGGTGTTGGCGTTGTTGTTGGTGTTGTTGTTGGTGTTGTTGTGGGTGTTGTTGTCGTTGTTGGTGGTGTTGTTGGTGTTGTTGTTGGTGTTGTCATAATAATAATAATCAATAATCATAATAATCAATCATAATAACACATAATAATAATTAATAATAATATCACCAACAACAACACCAACAACACCACCAACAACAACACCACCAACAACAACACTAACACCAAGACCAACACCAACACCAACACCAACAACAACACCAATAATAATAACAATAACAATAACACTAATAATAGTAATAGTAATAAGAAGCACAATAATAATAACAATCATAGTAATAATAAGAACAATAATAATAACAATAACAATAAGAATAATAATAGTAATAATAATAATAACTTGTTGGTGGTGTTGCTGGTGTTGTTGGTACTGTTGTTGGTGTTGTTGGTGTTGTTGGTGTTGTTGGTGATGTTGTTGTTGTGGTTGTTGTTGTTGGTTGTGGTTGTTGTTGGTTGTGGTTGTGGTTGTGGTTGTGGTTGTTGTGGTTGTGGTTGTGGTTGTTGTTGTTGTTGTTGTTGTTGTTGTTGTTGTTGTTGTTGTTGTTGTCGTTGTTGTTGTTGTTGTTGTTGTTGTTGTTGTTGTTGTTGTTGTTGTTGTTGTTGTTGTTGTTGTTGTTGTTGTTGTTGTTGTTGTTGTTGTTGTTGTTGTTGTTGTTGTTGTTGTTGTTGTTGTTGTTGTTGTTGTTGTTGTTGTTGTTGTTGTTGTTGTTGTTGTTGTTGTTGTTGTTGTTGTTGTTGTTGTTGTTGTTGTTGTGTTGTGTGTTGCTGTTGCTGTTGCTGTTGCTGTTGCTGTTGCTGTGTTGTTGTTGTTGTTGTTGTTGTTGTTGTTGTTGTTGTTGTTGTTGTTGTTGTCGTCGTCGTCGTCGTCGTCGTCGTCGTCGTCGTCGTCGTCGTCGTCGTCGTCGTCGTCGTCGTCGTTGTCGTTGTTGTTGTGAAACCGCTGTGCTGTCCTTCATAGTGCTAAATGCGTATCCCAATGCTCTGAATGAGCCGGTGTAGTGTTTCCTTGCTGATGCATTATGCAACAAATCTGCGCTGTTGTGAAGAGTGTGGATCTTGAGGATTTTGATGATGTCGTGTTTGATGAGGTCTTGTGTGTAGAGGAATTTGAGGCCGATGTGTTTTGCTCGTTTGCTTGTGCCTTGTCTCAATACGTTTTCCATTTGCTTTCTGCCCAAGAACAGAGGCATTGAGTGCCTCACTGAGTCAGTTTTCAATGGCCGTCCGCTTGGTCGTGCTTTTGCTTTGGCAAAAAGAAACACCGCAACCACAATTGAGGCTCAGCTCTGGGGCGTGACGCGGCTGGCGTCCACCAACGGCGCCTTCGCCGCCTTGCGCTCCGACGGCACTTTGGTGGCCTGGGGCGATGTGGGCTGTGGAGGCTCGGCGCCGGAGCTGCGCCTCGGCCGCCTTGCGAGACGTTCAGAATGAGAATTCAAGTGTGCCAGAGGGATGCTAGAAGGCTGCATCAGGCGTGGCTGTTCAAGATTCTAACGGGTCCCAGCACAGATGAAACACGCTCGCACAAGCTGAGTCCGAGGCAGGACGTGCGCGAGATCTACGCATCGCAGCAGGCCTTTGCCGCGCTGCTGGGCGATGGCCGGGTAGTCACCTGGGGCAATGCAGACTGGGGGGGCGACAGCAGTGCGGTGGAGAAGCAGCTGCAGGACCACGCACCTTTGGGTAGAAAATCGGCGCCCAAGCCCAAGACCCTAAACATGGCGTTCGACCCCCCAACGATCTCATATCATAAGACTTTGGGTCACTGGCTTGGAGCACCCCGGAGAACGTGCTGAGCATCACGTCGGGCCGCGGCTTTGCCGCGCTGCGCCAAGATGGGTCCGTGGTGTGCTGGGGCCCGAAGGACAAGGGCGGCGATGCCAGCGCCGTGCAGGACTCGCGCGGTTTGCTCTTCGAAGGCTAGCGCAAGTTGCGGACAGTTGGAGCGTGCCCCATTTCACAAAGAGAACAGACATCCCAAGGCCGGGATCTCGATCCCTGATTCCATCATTTTGACCCGAGGAGCAGTTGGTGGATGTGAAGCAGATCCACGCCACCGCCCGTGCCTACTGCGCCGTGTGTGGCGACGGGCGCGCTGTGGCCTGGGGGGACGCCCACTGGGGCGGCGATAGCCGGGAGGCGCTCAATACGCGACGGGTGCGTCGAATCTCAGCCACCAGCTGCGCCTTTGCCGCCATCCTGGAGGATGGATGGGTTTGCGCCAACCTAGTTGACCCGATTATATAATATCCCCCCCCCGTTATCAGTCATGGGGGTCTATCACTGATCCCCACTGAAAAGGGGACTCGCAATAATAACAAGTAGCAAGCGGGTATAGTCAGGGGTCAGTTTCCTTGTGGGTTGCTTCAGTCCAAAAGACATACGCCCTAACACAACACACACGCGCACAGGGATAGAGTGCGGCTCAAAATTAAAGAGGTAGGGTTACGCAGATTTTAGTGTGTGGTTCTAATGACCAAGGTGACATGTTGGTACAGGTTTTGAGCTACAGTCTTGTAGCTGAATTGTTCATGAATCGTATGGTTGTGTTTCATGACCACATCTGAAAAAGAAACTCATATTACACAGATGGTCTAAATCCATTTTGAGACATGTTTCTCACGTGCATAGTAGGGGCTGGGGTGCTGCAGGCCAAACCAGAACCCAATTCGGCCTTTGTGGCCCGTTGATTGCAGTACAGATGAACAACCATAAGTGAGTTTCCCTGATGGGCAATCTGAAAATGGGGTTACCAAAGGCTGGTAACGTGGTGAGCCACCTTCAACGGGCTTTCCCTGCTACATAGGAACATAGAGTAAATGGTCGAACGGCTAAGACTCAGGACAAGGCTGGCCAGAGGAGAACATGGGTGTTTTCATTTTTCAGGAGACCCTCCAAAGTTGTGGTTATCCTTTTGGTTTGCCTTAAGCATAGGAAAGGAGGGGCCCTCCACCGTGGCCAGGATGGCGGAGTGGTAACTTGGGGTGACCCTGCTCGTGGCGGTGACAGCAGCAAGGTTGCCCATGAATTGCAACTCCGCTGAGTTCGCATTTGGGCGTGTCTTGTTTGAGGGTAAGGGGAATCCACATGAGAAAAAAAGCACTTTTTTGGGGGTCTCCTGCAAAAGACACACCCGGGTTTGGGCAGGTCTCTGAGAGGATACAAACATGTTGGTCAACATGCATGTTTGGAAGGTGCCAGAGTCTCCGACAGCAAACACAAGTTGCTGGGGTCATTTTTATCGACTGTTTCTTGGGATGATTTGTTTCCCTTCAACCTAAGGCACTGACTTGATGGGGCCAGCTTCTTTGAGTCCAGGATATATATATATATATGTTTTTATACGTCAGTGTCTTTGCATCGCTTGCGAGAGCTCAGCATTTTGAGTTGGTGCTTTGCACCCTTTATTTTCTGCCTGCTTTCCAATTGATATTCAGCGCCCCTTTTGGCTCATGCACCGGCTTTCAATTTCAGTTGAGACCGCCCAAAATCCGCTTGCACATTATTCTCACATTCCCTATTTGGTTGGACAACTTGTCGTATTTACGATCTGGAGTTGTTGTTCAGACATGTTCAGACAGGTGGCTGGTGCGACCCCCGTTTTGGGTGCCTTCGTGGTTGGGTCGAACCAAAAGGAAACCAATTCCATAACGCAAACGTGTTCCTATTGGAGGGTGAAGGGTGAGGTATTGGCTCACCCACCACACGTGTTCCGACTGTTCTACGGCTATTGGAGGGTCCCCCGCCCCCTCCTCTCCGCCCCCTCCCCGCCCCCCCCCGCCCCGCCCCCTCCCCCGCCCCCTCCTCTCCGCCCCCTCCCCGCCCCCCCCCCCTCCGCCCCCTCCCCCCCCCCCCGCCCCCGCCCCTCCCCCCCTCCCCCCCCCGCCCCCTCCTCTCCGCCCCCTCCCCCCCCGCCCCCTCCTCCCCCCCCCCCCCCCCCCCCCCCCTCCTCTCCGCCCCCTCCCCCCCGCCCCCTCCCCCCCCTCTCCGCCCCCCCCCTCGCCCCCTCCTCTCCGCCCCCCCGCGCCCCCTCCTCCCCCCCGCGCGGCCAAAAACCAAATGAGGCGGCACGTGGAGCAGGTGGCCGCCGGGTGCGTAGCCTTTGCCGCCCTGAGAAGCGATGGCTCAGTGGTGACCTGGGGTGGAGAGAGCTGGGGAGGCGCGTACAAGGGTGGGCAAGACCCCGCCCTGTTGTTGGCGTGGTTTCTCATCTTGTTTTGCATATATATATATATATATACATATACAGACATGTTCTTGTTCCCAATTTTTGTTGGCATCAACCAGGTACGGTGTTTCTGCCTTTCTTGTTTTAGCTTGCTTTGTTGTCTTTATGTGTGGCTGTCCTTTTTAGTGTTCTTCTTTGTTCGTGGCAATGAACGCGTGTGGCATGCCTTGTTTTCGCTTATTGGTTTCAGTTTGTTTGTGGCCCCAACTGATCTTGTGCAAGCCCTAGAGGTGGTCGGGGGAGGGGGGGGGGGGGGGGATGATAACGCCCATTGCAACCACCGAACAAACTTGTTTGAACACTCTGACAGCAGCGGCTCATTTTTGAATTCTCATCCAATCAGGTCACTGACTCAATCAATCGATCAATCAGTCAGTCAACCAACCAACCAACCAAGCAAGCAATGAATGAATGAATGAATGAATGAATGAATGAATGAATGAATGAATGAATGAATGAATGAATGAATGAATGAATGAATGAATGAATGAATGAATCAATGAATGAATCAATGAATGAATTCATGAAGGGAATGGGATGGAATGGAATGGGATGGGATGGACTGGGATGGGATGGGTTGGGCTGGGCTGGGATGGGATGGGATGGATGGATGGATGGATGAATGAATGAATGAATGAACGACAGACAAGCAACCAAAAACCAACCAAACAATCACTCAAGCAAACAATGTCGCTGCGCCAAGTGCATCATGGCTTTTGGAGTCCTAGTTCGACAACACTGTCCATTCATGATGCATGTGTCAGTGAACTAGTGGTCTTGACTGAGCCAACCACACAGCAGAACTGCTGCCTGCCTTGACTGGACGCCTGCCGTGCCTGGAGAACACTGCAGGCAGCTTGCCTCTCAACCTTCGCAGGTGACCCATGTTCAAAAGAGGCTTACCCACAGATGCACATGTAGATCGGCTGTCAGCGATGTGCTTGCTAGATGCCCCAGGGAAGCGTGTGCTTTTGCTTCGCAGATCTAGGTGCAACCAGCTCGGGTGGCAAGCGTGGGGGACGCGTGTCGCCTGCCTCTTTTTGGGGAATGCAAGTGCTCCGGAACGCTTTTGCAGCGAATCGGCGCGTTTCCTTGTTGAACTCTAGCGGGATGGTTTTTGGCCGTGCCTCTTGCTCGGGCTTGATTAAAGGGAAGCACAAGCAGCGTCATCAATCTATATGGTTCCCCGCGTTCCTTAAACAACTGCACGTGCATGGCCCAATCACAGGGTTGATTTCTCATTGCCCGACTTCACAAACCTTTTGACCTTTTACCGTCTTCCCTTAACCAAGGGGGGGAACGGTTCCAATCAAATTCCTAGACAATCCTTTCCTCAACCCCTGTGGCTCAGGTAAACAACAATTAGCTTTCAGCCCGCCGGAGACGCCAAGACCCTTCTAAACTTTCTTGATTAGACGCACGCGCTCCAGCGGCAAACCCCAAAAAGAGTAAACCTCGTGCGGCTGTGGCCTCTGTGGGTATTTATTTTCACATTTTTCAGTGGTGCCCAACAGCCGCCCCCCTGGAGGCGACAGCAGCCAAGTCCAGGAGCAGCTGACCGGTGTAGAGGAGATCCAGGATCGTCGCTTCTGAGTAGATGTCGCGTGCAAGCCTGCCCTTTTTTGGCCTCGGCACAAGCGCATCCCCAAACCGGCAAGCAACAAACCGTTGGGTACACTCACCAAAGTGCAGCTAGGAAACGGGGGTTACGCACCAAGCTCCAATTCATCATATGAATATGTGCAAACGGGGGCTCCTGTCCTTTTCCCAGGAAAGAACACACACACACACACAAAACGGGTTTCGAGCCTTAAAACGACACGTCATACTCAGGTTGTGTGCTTTTTGTGAGTGTACCCTTTTTGAGGACGCATGTGTGAAAACGGAACACAAACCAAACGGGGCCCCAGGCAGGGGGCTGTGCCTTCGCCGCGATGCGCCTGGACGGAACTTGCGTGACCTGGGGCCATCCTCGGTGGGGCGGCGACAGCAGCGCGGTGCGGCGCCAGCTGCCGCGGCCTCGGTTTTGCCGGGAGGGTTTTTTGTGGGTTCCCAGCAGCGCGCGCTTGGACTTCTTTGGATCTTTTGGGGTTTGAGAGGGTTTTTTCGTAAAAGATTGGCTGGGGTGGGAACTCATGATAAGCTACCGCGTGGGAACCGACCGAAATGCCTGTGATGGAGGTCCTCCACTGGGGTCTGAGATTTGTGGTGATTTGTGCAGATCTTGAGGCAAGGACTGGGCGCAGTTCGCGACATATTCAAACACAGCCCCGCGTGTCTGCGTGTCTGGGAACCCGTGCTTGGGGTCAGGGATCTTGGACAACCTTGGCATGTGTGCTGGGCTCAACATTTTTTGCTACAGGGGCTCCCAGTCAGTTTGGCCCACTATGAGTGTTGAGAGAACGCAAGGAACTTTGATTCATGGTTCAGGGAGCCATGAGCTATTGCGCCTGTCTCACAAGCCCTGGAACCCTGAGCCTGTTGGTGGTTGCTTCCATATTCATTTGCGATGGTGCTCTTTGACACCTGCCCACCAGAAGCGGGCAGCGGGAGGGATTGCCGATTTTGACAGGCTTCCACTTGAGTGAAGGTGGGGAATCCTCTGAGCTTGGCCCCCTTCACACACAGACCCGGTTTTGGGCGTGCCCATTTTTTTTTTCTGTATTTGCCCAGTACGAGAACTTGTGAGTCATGGCAGCGCATCTTGCAGCTGGTTGTAAGACCACTACTTGTCGCTTTCACGCCCCTTCCCTGAGGCAGGACGTCCATGCTCCTTTTCGTCCATGAAGCGGCGAGCGAAGGATGAGCCATAGCAGGGTTCCCCCTAATTTTTCCCCTGATAAGGTGGCTACAAATATTTTTTTTTGGGCCAGTTTGAAGTTTTGTTTGGGGTGATATTTGAAGTTTAGGAGGGAAAAGAGGAACGCCTGCTATGGTCAACTTGCCAGAGACATGAGACTCACGGAAATCTCATCCACAACAAATCGGGGGCTGAAAGCCCAGTTTCTCTGATGGTGCCTGACTCCGACAATGCCTCCTTCCCTGGGCCCAAAAGTGGCCAGCGGTGCGATCTTGGCCTGGCGGTCAGTTTCGCTGAAAATGGCGCATCGTTAGTAGCGGGAGAGCAAGGGTTGGTGAACATGACGCCAATGGTTTAGACTATATTCCGCCTTGCTCAGTAGGCTGAATATCTAGGCGCTTCAGCCCCTGAATGTTGCCTGGCTTGCTGATTGCGCAGGCACGGCGATGATTGCGACGCCTGGGCTTGTGCCCGTGCAAGGTGTGGCAGGCGGCTGGAATCGTAGGCTGATTCTCCCTCATTTTCTTGCAGCGCGCTTTGACTCGGATCTTCACCAGTTTTTCCCTGAACGGGTGTGGTTTATGAATCAGGCACCAGATGATACCACAAGTTTTCCAGGGACTGGTGGGTAAATCCAACCTTTACTTTAGCCGCAACAGCTTGCTTCCGTCCCATGGTTTTGTTTGTCTCTTTTCCTCTGCATTGTCAAGGGCTGTTTGCCGTTCTTTAAAGCAACCCCAGGCCACCACGCGAACAGGGGCACCACAAACGACTCCTGACCTCCGGTCATGTTTGTGGAACATTGTCGGATTTTGGATGCCACTTTCTGTGACCAAAGGAATCCTAAATAATCCCGTGAGGGAAATTGTTTGGTTGGGTAGCTTTTAGTTTTTTTTTGGTTCCCCTAAACAGTCCTAAGGACATGCAAAGAGCAGCCACACGTGTTGATTCAACCAAAAACTCTGGGAATCCTTTCCTGGCGCCAGGCGTCCCCGTCCCCCGAGTTCGCGAGGCCGAGCGGGCGCGGGTCCAAACGCTCGTCCGGCGATGCGTGTACGTGTCTTTCCCACCCAAAAGCTGAAGATCTGCGTTTTGAGGAACCCAAAGCCACAAGAGCCACAGAGAGAGAGAGGGAGACACGAGCCCCCAAAAAGCAGCCAAAGCTAGCAAAGAAGCAACCAAAAGCCACAGAGAACTGAGAGCCACCACGAGCCACCAAGAAAGCAAACATAACCCAGCGAAAAGCACTTGCTGTGCTTGTTGTGCTGTTCCCAGAAGCTAAAGATTGTTGTTTTCCCGCATTTGAAGGGGAACTACTGGACACAGGTTTTGTCCAGATAGCAGAAAACAGTGTGGTTTCCCAAATGTTTCCGTTTTTGACACAGCCTGAACATGCCTGAACAACTGGGGTTTCCGTCCTCCCGCAAGTCGAGAGAAGTCCCAGGCCTCGCTGGCGCAGCTGGACGCTCAGCTCCGGGCCTCGCAGACGGATTTCTGGGGCATGCTCGGGGGCCCGGTCTCGCTCGCTCGCCCGCGGTCTCGCTCGCTCACACCGCTCTCGGGGTTCCTTGAAGTGGAAAACTCGTTTTGAGGAACTCTCTACAAAATTATCGGGTCACGGTGGATTCCCCTGAAATCAGCGTTGAAGCGGTAGTTTTGAGAAGTCACGTTGATGGACGCAGTTTTATTGCACAGGCAGGCTAATCGGAAAGCCTGGCTACCGTTGGGTGCCATTGAAAACACCCCTCCTTGTTAAAATTGCATTCATGGTTCAGGTTCACAAATTATGGACAGTACCCAAACATGATTGTTCGTCGGGGGCAAACAGTCAGGCAGGCTCCATTGTGTTGATCACCGCCTGTGCGGAGTAAGCCGAGGTGATGTGCAGACGTGTGTGAAGCATGCCAGCAAAATGGTATGGAGTGCAGAGCAGGGAAGCACTTGAGGTCATTTGTTATGAGATGTTTCGGCACCTATAGTTCATGGAGGGGCGGCTTGGCTTTGGCAGAATGAGGTTGGTGATGTATCTTCCATTTGTTTTTTCGAGAGTACACCTGTTTGGTTTGTGTAAAGGGAAGCTACATGGACACCGCTACTTTTCAGGTCCCCCCCAGTTTGACATATACTGTACCCATGCCAAGCAGCCACGGTCTATCTGATTTTTGCATACCGATACATATTTAGTCACCAAATGCCGCCGCATTACGCATGATGAGCTTGATTTTGCCTCCCGACAGCACATACGTTGTGCTGCAAACTCCCGCAATGCAGTGAAGTGAGTTATAGTTGGCCCGCCGGTTCATGATTGTATTCCAGCTAAAAAGAGCTTGTCCTGATTGTCTGCCCCTCGAGTCAAGCACACATGCACTTGATTCCAGCCTGCGATAAGCGGTTCGCTATTTTGCTCCAGGGATCTCCAGAACTGGACTACGATCCACGCTGGTTGTTGCAAGGATTGGAATTCTGCTTCATTCGATTCATATGCTCCATTGCCAGCGTGTGATCGGCAGTGTACTATACACCAAAGGAATATGAGCAACTAATTGGGACTGAAGTTCCAGAGCAATGCTTCTTACAACGTGTGTTGCAGCGACATCAAAGTCGCAGATGGCATTTTTGTTGCATCTCCGCTTTCAATTAATAGAACGACCGGCAACTAAAAGCGAGCCCACTCCGCACCGCCAGCTGCTTGGTTCGAGCTCTTTCTTCATGGTGTCTGTTTTGCAAGTGCTCAGAAAGGAGCCCACCCTATCCGTGGGCATCCCTATGCGAAAGAACGTGGCGGGACAAAAAGTTAGGAAGGACCGGAGGCTCCAAATGGCAGCCACTTGAGGTCCCCCCGATTTTTCCCTGGCCTCGCGAGGGATGCGCCCCGCGTTGGCAGCATGGCGATAATTGGCCCACAGGCCTGGCGAGGTGAAGAAAGCTTTGGCAGACAGGCGCCTTCAAGAAGTCTTATCATCTCATCTGCCCTTTCTGTTCTTTTGCTTCCATTTGCCATGTACTAAGAATTTACTAGAATGGCCGCTCATTCGGTATCGCAGGTGCTGCGGCCGGTCTTGGCATTGCGCCAGGTGGGAATTTGGATCTTGTGCCCCTTTAAACAGACAGGATGCACATCACTTGCAAATTGCAAAAAGGCCTTTGACAGAACTTTTGTCGGCCCTTGGGATCAGTTGTGCGGTGCGAACTGTGGATGTCCTGGGCTGTTTGGGTTCGGTGGCAGCTCTTCGTCCGTTTGTTTTGACTTGACAGCAACTCGTTGGAACCCAGTGAGGACCGGATGAATCAACCTGGCAGACGAGTTGGGTGTTTCCCCCTCATGAAACCCCTGTGAATCACCCATGGGTTCCCAAATGCTAAGAGCGTAGCGGTAGTATGTAATATGTCATCAATATGAGCCAACATGACATTGATGCTGTTCTGACTCAAGTGATCCACCCGAGATACTATTAGTTAAAGCTACACAACGCTTGACTACAAGTAGGAGAAGCAGCGCTGTTACCTGAATCAATGTTTTCCGTTTTCGAATTTGATGACGTTTCATGACAAGTGTGTATATATATATATACGTATACACATACACGTATCATGCAGCTCATACATTACACACACAAACTTAAAACAACCTTTGAGTTAGCTTTGGCTATTGTTGTGTGGCAGGTCTCTGCTTATCTCCGACTTGCGCAGACAGTCGACAACAGAAAGCACGCCTGTTGACCAGGCTGCAGTCGGAAGCTGCTTCGTGTGTTGAGCAGATTAACCATCCCGCGGTTTTCCACGACACGGCTGGTGGCAAAAAATCCTGGGCTCAGGCGGCGGTTGATCCTCTTTGATGGCCAATGTAGGCCAGGCAAATGCAATGGATGCTTCTCCTTGGTAGGGATCTTGCTGCAGCAAAAAAGATGACGGGCAGAAGGGCGGATCCACAGTGTCCTGTGTTCAGCTCAATATTTTAGGGGAGAGGCAGCCTGGACAACCAGATTTCTCCTCTCGACAGAATTTAGATGGACCAAGACCAAGACTCATCAAGCTTGGCCCACATGCAACAAGCGACTGCAGGTTGTGCCTGGGCTTTGTGTCCATCGTTGTAGGCGTGGTGGCTACAATGCATGAACGCTGCAGAACTGCGGCTGGCACAGTCGAAAGGGTGAGGTAGCTATTAATTTCTAGACTCTAGTTTGATAAGCTTGGAATGGTGGAAAGTTGTGACATAGGCTCGGCAGCTAACAGTTTGTCAGCAGGGAGTCATCATTTTTTCCCGAAAGCTTCGCGAAGGGTTCTTTGCAAAAAAACGGTTGACTTTTACACAGCTGACTTACGCAGCGTGACTGACGCAACCTAACTTACGCAGCCTAGCCTACGCAACGTGACTTACTCAAACTGCCTTGCGCAGCCTGACTTACACAGCCTGACTTACACAGCCTAGCTTACGCAGCGTGACTTACGCAGCCTGACCTACGCAGCCAGACACACGTAGCCTAGCTTACGCAGCCTGATGTACGCAGCCTGACTTGCGCAGCCTGACTTACGCGCCCTAGCTTACGCGCCTGACTTACGCAGCCTAGCTTACGCAGCCTAGCTTACCCAGCCTGAGTTACGCAGCCTGACTTACGCCGCCTGACTTATGTAGCCCGACTTACGCAGCCTCACATGCGCAGCCTAGCTCATGCAGCCGAAGCTCGCAGCCTTTAATTAGCCGTGGCTGGGTCTGGCGGGCGGGGGGATGAACCCTCTGTGGGGACCGTGTGTGTCGGAGCGCTCTCGTTGTGGCGCCGTGCGAATTTCAAATCTCGCCGACGAACCCTCTGCGGAAATTAGGCGTGTCGAATCGCTCTGGCTGTGGCGCCGTGCGAGTTTCGAAGCTCGCCGATCAACCCTCTGCGGAGATTGTGCTTGTTGAATCGCTCTTGCTGTGGCGCCGTGCTAAGTTCAAATCTCGCCGACGAACCCTCTGCGGAGATTGTGCGTGTCGGATCACTCTCGCTGTGGCGCCGTGCGAATGTCAAAGCTCGCCGACCAACCTTCTCCGGAGATTGTGCGTGTCGAATCGCTCTCGCTGTGGCGCCGTGCGAAGTTCAAAGCTCGCCGACCAACCTTCTGCGGAGATTTCGAGTGTCGAATCGCTCTCGCTGTGGCGCCGTGCAAAGGTCAAAGCTCGCCGACCAACCCTTTTCGGAGATTGTGCGTGTCGAATCGCTCTTGCTGTGGCGCCGTGCGAATTTCAAATCTCGCCGACGAACCCCCTGCGGAGATTGTGCGTGTCGGATCGCTCTCGCTGTGGCGCCGTGCGAATTTGCAAGATCGTGTCGAATCGCTCTCTCTCTCTCTCTCTCTGTGGCGCTGTGCGAAATTCAAAGCTCGCCGACGAACCCTCTGCGGAGATTGTGCGTCGCCGACGAACCCCCTGCGGAGATTGTGCGGGTCGGATCGCTCTCGCTGTGGCGCCGTGCGAATCTGCAACTTCGCCGACGAGCCTTCTGCAGAGATTGTGCGTGTCGAATCGCTCTCGCTGTGGCTAATTCAATTCACTAAATTTCACCCATTCTCGCTAAATTACATGAATGAAACTAGGTGATTTAGTGAAATTTAATGAAATTTAGCAAATTTTAATGAAATTTAATGAAATTTAGCAAAATTTCTGAAATTCAATGAAATTTAGAAAGAGATTCACTAAATTTCACTAAATTTCTGAAATTTACTAAAATTTAATGAAATTTAAGAAACTGAAGAAATTTCGTGACATTTAATGAAATTTAATGAAATGCTCATAAATTTTTCTAAATTTCATTAAGATTCACTAAATTTCACTAATGTTCACTAAATTGGACTTGCGAAATTTAGTGAAATTTAATAAAATTTAATGAAATTTAATGAAATTTAGTGAAATTTAGTGAAGGTTAGTGATTTTTGCCTTTTCCTTTTGAAAAGACAGCAATCTTGAGCAAACAAGCAGTGAACAAAATAGTGAATGGAATTAGTGAAAATTGGTGAATTGGCACTTATGGAAATTGCGGGCGCTGCGTTGGGCAGACTTGGGGCCAATCAAGTCGAGGGCTTCCCTTTAACATATAAACATTGTTTCGCTTTGCTTTGCTAAAGCCTTAGGGCCGAAGCTTTAGCGCAACTCACCTGGACCTAGTCACCTCGCCATGTAGGCGTATGTCCATTCACTATTCCCTTTCACTATTCCCATTCACTATTTCCCCTCTCGTCTCTCTTCTCTCTTCTGTGTTCTCTCTTCTGTGTTCTCTCTTCTCTCTTCTCTCTTCTCTCTTCTCTCTTCTCTCTTCTCTCTTCTCTCTTCTCTCTTCTCTCTTCTCTCTTTTCTCTTCTCTCTTCTCTATTCTCTCTTCTCTCTTCTCTCTTCTCTCTTCTCTCTTCTCTCTTCTCTCTTCTCTCTTCTCTCTTCTCTCTTCTCTCTTCTCTCTCTCTCGTCTCTCTTCTCTCTTATCTCTTCTCACTTCTCACTTCTCACTTCTCACTTCTCACTTCTCACTTCTCACTTCTCTCGCTCTCGGCTCTTGGCTCTCGGCTCTCGCTCTCGCTCTCGCTCTCGCTCTCGCTCTCGCTCTCGCTCTCGCTCTCGCTCTCGCTCTCGCTCTCTCGCTCTCGCCCTTGCTCTCTCGCTCTCGCTCTCGCTCTCGCTCTCGCTCTCGCTCTCGCTCTGTCTCTCGCTCCCGCTCTCTCTAATTAGCTGAAACATCAGTCAATTTTTCCTAATTTTTCTATTTTTGCTAATCAATTAGAAAAGTTAGCTTAAAAATCAGACATTTTTCTAATTTTTCTATTTTTCTACTTAATTAGAAAAATTAGCTCCAATTTGTCTCATTAATTAGGAAAATCAAAACAAAAGCAAAAACATGACTGGTTTTCCCGCTATTTTAAAAAATGGAAAAATTACTGATTTGCTTTGTCTTTCTCTCTCTTTCTCTCCTCCTCTCTCTCCACTCTCACCGCTCTCTCCTCTCTCTCCTCTCTCTCCTCTCTCTCCTTTCTCTCCTTCTCTCCTCTCTCTCCTCTCTCTCCTCTCTCTCCTCTCTCTCCTTTCTCTTCTCTCTCCGTTCGTCGGCGAGAATTGAAATTCGCACGGCGCCACAGCGAGAGCGCTCCGACACGCACGATCCCCGCAGAGGGTTCGTCGGCGAGCTTTGAAATTCGCACAGCGCCACAGCGAGAGTGCTCGGACACGCACGATCCCCGCAGAGGGTTTGTCGGCGACGTAGAAAATTTGCACGGCGCCATAGCGAGAGCGCTCCGACACGCATGATCCCCGCAGATGGTTGATCCCCCCAGCGCCCGCCAGACCTGCCCCCGGCTAAGAAAGAAGATAGAATTAAAGGCTGCGAGCTTCGGCTGGGTAAGCTAGGCTGTGTAAGTCAGGCTGCGTAAGCTAGGCTGCGTAACTCAGGCTGCGTAAGTCGGGCTGCGTAAGTCAGACTGCGTAAGTCAGGCTCCGTAGGTCAGGCTGCGTGAGTCAGGCTGCGTAAGTCAGGCTGCGTAAGTCAGACTGCGTAAGTCAGGCTGCAAAAGTCAGGCTGCGTAAGTCAGGCTGCGTAAGTCAGGCTGCGTAAGTCAGGCTGCGTAAGTCAGGCTGCGTAAGTCAGGCTGCGTACGTCAGGCTGCGTGAGTCAGGCTGCGAGTAAGCTTGAGTAAGTCCCGCTGTGCGTAAGCTAGGCTGCTTAAGTCAGGCTGTGTAGTCGGCAACCGTTTTTTTCCACAGAGCCCTTCGCGATGCTTTCGGGAAAATAGTACACGAAGCACGCCCGCAGCAAGTTTTAAGTATAAAAGCAGTACGCGAACTACGCTCCCGCAGCGCCGGCCTGAGAATCGCAAGTTTTACGTAGAGAAAAGTAGTATGCGAAGTGCGTTCCCGCAACTCCGGCCTGAGAATTGCACATTTCAAGTAGAAAAGTAGTACGCAAAGCACACTCGCGCAGCTCCGGCTTGCAAAGCAAAGGAGCGAAAGAGACAGAAAGAGAAAGAGAAAGATAAAGGGAAGCAGAAAAAGGAAAAGAGAAAGAGAGAGAGAGAGAGAGAGCAAAAGAGAAAGAGAAGGAGAGAAAGAGAAAGAGAAAGAGAATGAGAAAGAGATAAAGAGGCACAGACAGAGAAATAAGGGTAAAGAGAAAGAAAAAGAAAGACAGAGAGAGGGGGAGAAAGAGAGAAACCCACAGAGAGAGAGAGAGAGAGAGAGACAGAGAAAGAGAGAGAGAGAGAGAGCAAGAAAAAGAAAAAGACAGAGAAAAAGCAAGATAAAGAGAAGAGAGAAAAAGAAAGATAAACAGAAAGAGAAGGCAAAAGTAAAGAGAAAGAGAAGGAGAAAGGGAAGGAGAAAGGAAAGAGACAGTACAGTTGCGTCCGCCTGCCTTGGTGTTTTTCCTGAGTGGGAATGGCTAGCCCTTTTTGCCGATCGCTGTGGAGTTGTAACTACCTTACGAGACGGAGTGGGGAAGCCCTGTGTTTAAGTCTACCTGGTAGGACCCCTCTCAGGTGAGCTACCATATGAAGAGGGTAATCAAGAAACGGGACCTTGCACAAACAGTGTTATCCCTTGTTTAAGTTCGGTTTCTTTGCTTCCGAAACCGTTTTCCGCAAGGCAGGAACTCCTCGGACCTTTTCCGCTTCGCCCCGCTGCAGTCCGCGCTGGGACAGGACAGGCATTCCTGACATGTGTGTATGTGTCTTGCGTTTCTTTCAGGTTTATCTTTCTTTTTTTTCCCCAGATAGCTGAAAGCTATGGGGGTTCTAACTTAGCACCCTATCGTCAATCTTGAAAAGATGCACACGCACTGCCATCAGCACCTCAAACAGCACCCCAATCAGCACCTACACCAGCACATCTTGCCGCAAAAAAAATGCAGTTTGGGGTGTTGCTGCTGATGGTGCTGTGGGACGCAGTTTGTGGGGCCGCTCGGGTGCTATCGGGCATGCAGGTGACGGTGCAGGCGCATGTTTGCATCTTGACAGTTTGGTGCAACAAGGCACGCAGCTTAGGTGGTGGTTTGGGATTCTGTTTGGGGTGCTGTTTTGTTTTCGCAATGTCTTGGCTTCAGGGTGATGGTGCGGGCGGATTTTTGCTCGATTGACGGCCGGGTTTTGCTTGGGGCGTTGTTCGGGCGCGTGCTTTTGGAGGTGCTGGCGGCTATTTGGGGTTTATGCTGGTGTATTTTTTTTCTCTCTCTCTCTCTCTCTCTCTCCCTCTCTTTCTTACAAGTAAATAATGCGTGGTATGCAATGTAGCTTTTGGCCTTGTCGGCATTCTGTCAAATTTTCTGGTGGGACCCTTGCCAACTGCAAGTCGCCCCTCTCAGACCTGGATCATGAGTCTTGCGGTAGTCCACTCCTTCAGCCTGCCAAAAGGCAGGGAACCTGTTGGAAGGTGTAAGGGCCGATCCAGAGGAATCCGGTGCAATTTAGGCGAGAAGGGGGGGTGTAGTTTTGGGGGGCGTAGTTTGACTTGAGTTTTGAGACGGCTGCGGTGAAGCGGCTCGCGTTCCCAAAGTCGCCACTTGTTTTGCCCAGCATCTTGTAACTTCACCGTAAGCGTTTGGAGTGGATATTGGTTCCCACTGGGGCAAACGGGAGACATTTCTTAGGGCAGTGACCAACAAATTGGCAGCTTGCCCTTGGCTTCTTCTGGGATAGAACGGGTTGGGTTTCGCTTGCACCGTCAGACCTGGGCTCCGTGATGCTCCTCCGATAAAATCAGCCGGAGGTGCCGAGCCGAGTCGGGCTAGGGAGATGCGAGTGGTTTGCGTGGCGGGGGAAAGGTAGCATCGCGTTTTGTTTGTTTTTCTTGATATATACGTGCGTGCAGATACATGTGTACATGTACATTTTCTGCCTTGTCTCCGCAGTTTTTGTGATCGAATTTGTCGGGAGATTGCCTTTCCATCCTTTTTCCTTCGCAATGGCAAAGATCGCGAAGAAGCAGGCGTGGCCGTGAACTGACCACAAAGCCTCCCGCTCTTGGGCTTGCGAACATAAACATTACCAGAAGTTCACTTTGTACTCAAGGGAATGGACACCCTTTTCAAGGGGTCAACCACACTTAGGTGCCACGAAAAAACTGAACCTACCTTCAGAGGTTCAATCCCACTTACAGACTTCGGTCAGGTGGTGAAGCTGCAGGAGGATCTGCTGGCAGAGCTCACTGCCTCTCCGCGAACTCAGCGCCTCGCCAGAAGGCCACACCTATTTGTGGTTCCCCTTGCTAACTTTATTGCATCCCTTCGAGGCCCGAATTCATTCAGCCAGCGCGTCCGTTTCGCTTTTTTCAGAGCCTGCGGATTCTTTACATGGTCTTGGGTAGACTCCTGTAATGCCAGGTTTTGATTGTGACTCAAATCAAGCCACAATCGTTGGGCCAATATCCAGCAGTCTTTGAATCGCAAGGGTGTTGTGCAACCTGTAGTGCTGGGATCAGGAACCGGTTTTTTGGCTACTACTTGGGTATCCGACTATTTGAGTATATGATGTATGACAATAGGTGGACAGGTACCTAAACACGAGGAATGGGCACCCGCGGGTTCTAACAGACATGTATAGAAGGTTTGAACCCGGGATGAAGGTTAGTAGGAGACAGCAGCACAAGCGTTCCGTTGTATTTCTTTACAAGGTGTTTGGTAGACCCCTGTACTACCCTGTCCCACAAAAGAAGCGGTCTGCATGAAGTTAAGCATGCTTCAGGCCATTTGGCTATGATCAAGTGTACTATCCGAAGCCGTGGAAAAGCAAGGTCGTGCGCCATAGGTTTTGCCATGGGAGCTGGCCTCTAGCGCCGGCTCCCGATCTGCGTCTGCGAGAAGCAATGCGTACCTGTGTGAGCGAGCCATCATCCTGAGACACCGGAATTTGGGCATCAAGCGGGTGCAATTCAGTGTCTGCGGTTGGTAAGCAGGTATCTTTGCAGTTTTGGTAACTCAACTGCTGTTGGAATATGCGGACACGAACGTGTACGCTATTCTTTCCACGTACACGTCGGGCGAAGCAAGGAGTTTGATCCGGCAATCGCGGATTATGAGAGCCGGCCGGGAGCTGAACGAGTACAGCCCTTGTTCACATGAGGAGAGCATCTTCAACTTAATGCTGGTCGGTACGCAACGTTCTTGGAGCCCAGGGAGGAGGTGTTCTCATATTTGGATCAGGTGGTGCCGGTTGCGCAAGCAGCCATGGACATCGGATCTGTCGGTGTGGGGAAAGGCGGAGGATGCTACTTGTGGTCCGCATGTGATGAAGGAGTGCAAGGGCAAGGGCAAAGGCAAGAAAGGCGGAGGAGACAAAGGTAAGGGTGGCGAAGATCATGGCAAGAAAGGGAAATTCAAAGGCTAAAGGAGCTGGGAAAAAGGGGAAAGATTCGTTTTGTCACAAGTGTGGGAAGCCAGGGGTCAAAGCCCAAAGGTTTGGAATGCGGTGGAACAGAAGCAAGACCCCCGTCTTTCTCAGTTACAGTCAGCATACGCCGAAGCAGCTGCAGAAGAGTTTCAACGCATGACAAGTGCAGTGCCGACTTTGACAGCACCCACATCACCTGTGTCTGCGGCATCCGTTCGCAGTGCAGGCACAGGATCAGCGCAAGCGACTGGCAACCCGGTGCAGAATGGGCAGTTTGGTGGTTAAAGGTTTGTGCGCGCTTTCCAGAAAATGGTGCAATCACAGCACTTGAGGAACTACTACGACATGTGCCTATGGTGATGAGTGTATGGGGTCACTATGGATAGTGGTCGGCCTGCAAATGCTTTTCCGGACTTTCAGCCAATGGCCAATGGTGACATGGTTCCAGAGCTGTGGAAGGTGAGTCCATTAGTGATCATGGAGGAGGAGCGTGGCGGACGTTCACAGAGCTACATTGAGGATGTGGTGCCCGGCGGATCTGTATCAGCGTGACGGTGTCTATGTTCAACGGCTGAAGGTGATCGACGGACGAGAAGCGGGCAGGCAGGTCGGGCGGAGGAAAAGAGCATGTGAGAAGAGGTGAGCCCAGCAGTGCTGTAAGTCGCGGTGCAAGTATTTGTGCAGCGCAAGCCGAGGGCGGCGGTATCTGCAGAGGGCCGAGATGATGAAGAAACCACTGAGCGAGGTGAGGACGAATGGTGATGATGCGTTTCCACATCTAGCAGAGGTGGATGATGCAGCAGATGAGTTTCCCGGTGATGGAGGTGGAATGCATGAGGAATTTTAGGAGGACTTGGTTCGGCTGGGACAAAAGACGCCCATCAATCAGCGGCAACGCTACATCAGTCATGTTCCTTATCGGGCGTGGTCCTCCCGCTGCACCAGAGGAAAAGGTAGATCTTTGCAGCATTCAATGAAATCTGCGAAGGACAAGAAGGAAGAGAAGATGAGACCGAGGGTGAGCATGGATGGTCTTGGAGAAATGCGGTTCAACTTGGATAGTCCTGGAGTTGGGTGTGAAGATGAGGTGAAAGGTGAGTCGCAGACCAATGAACCTCTCGAGTCTGCGGTGGGGCGGCTACAGGGACAAGCTCGGACTTTGAAGAGCTGCTTGGAGTTGCGGTATCAGATGAGCTTTCCGCCGAGGCATCCTATACTTTGCTGGTTGGTCAATTACTGTGGGACGCTTCTGTCCAGGTTTCAACGGGGACCAGAGAATTTGGTGAGTGTGTCTTTTATGAGCCGGTGAAGGGTCAAAGGGATGCGAGCAAGCTGGATGCGAAGCTTGAGCCGGGGATCTTTCTGGGTATTCAAGAAGGATCAGGTGTGAGGTGGATTGGCGCGCCGGATGGTGTGGTCCGCACTTGGACATTTTGAGACGGCCGGATGAGGAGAAGTTGCAGAAAGAGATGGTGGAGAAGTTCGTCGGATTGCAATGTCTCACCTGCAGATCGAGATTCCCAATGTTGGTGCAAGTGATGGTGACGAGCTGAAAGAAGTTGCAGTGGAAGTGAGGAAGAAGAAGTATGTTCCTCGAGGAATCTACATACGGAGAGATGTGGATCTCGAGGCCATGGTCATACGGAGGGCTGCGATGGTTGTGAAGCTGCCAAGCACGGTCTATCTCACAAGCAACATAGCCGTGCATGCAAAGAGAGGATAGCAGATGAGATGTGCAAAACAGAAGAAGGCGTGAAGAGAGTCGAGAAGGTGCGCGCGCGAGAGGAGAAGTATATGGTGGCAGTGCGTGAGAAAGAGGAAGCAAAGAAGAGAGCAGCAGCCGAGGAGTTGAAGACCGATAAGGAGAAGACGAAGAAGCAGGTGGAGGCAGGTGATGTAGTTGATGCGGTGCTTGGCGGAGGAAATGCAGCGGTGATGGCGGAGGTTTTGGGTCAAGGGGGCCCATCTTCGTCGTCGAGATCGGCAGCAGCATCAGCAGCAGCGGATGTGCAGATGGAGAACAAGGTTGAAGAACCAACGGTCACTCTAAGTGCTTCGTCGAGGACAAAGTGGGGCGTTTGTAGACGCTGTGCGAGAAGCGAGTGTGTGCGAGACAGCGATGCTAATGCTGGAGGAGGACACCGAAGATCGGAGGATCCTTCTGCGATTTCCGTCACGAGACCGTATGACCTGCAGAGGTGTCGGCAGTGGTGCTACGGTGGATGAGTTTGGGCGCCTGGAATTTTTGTGATGAAGATTGCAGGCAGAGAGCAGAGCAGTTTTTGAACCAAGCAAAATGTGATCCTGCAGAGATGCTGCGAAAGGCACAGAAAGGGCAAGAACATTAGCGTTTTTGCTGCAAGAATTGAAGAAGATTGAACGAAAGAGGTTCGTCGTGCATGAGCATTCGGCTTGTGCGTCTTCATGGCATGAGGCACACATTGCGGAGGTGGAGCAGCAGCCGGAGGTGCGTAAAGTCACAGGGCACATGTGTGAGCAAGGGATGACGCTGGAAGAGCATGGAATGGCTTCGCGAAGAAGCCTACGAGCTATCTTACAAACAGCCCTTGTATTGCAGAAGAACTGAGCAAGCAGTGTGAGAATGACGCGGATGCAAAGGTATCTGGCGACAAACCGGACGTGGTGTGCGGAAGGGGCAGTTTTCGGAATCAGTGCGCAGAACGGTTTACATTGAATTTGGGTGCTTTGCTGCAAGATTTACGTGATGTTCACAATGCAACAGACGAGCAATTGAGATTTGAAACCCCAAGGGAGTGTTTGCTGGTGGAAACAGTTTTCTTTTTCGTGCGAGACGGGAAGAAGTGGCATAGGCATATCCTGCTGATTGGGGGCAAAGCAAAACAGTGTGAAGTATAACCCCGCGGTCTTATTCGCAGCATTTTGCGTGGTTTGTGGAAGCAGCTGAAGATGATCAGGCCTATGTTCATTATGGGTTTTGGTCCTACGGATCAGGAGGAGCATCTGGATTTTTCTTTGGCGACGGATGATGGCTGGGGCGAGTTCATTGATGAAGTTTCTGGAAAGCCCTTCCAAGCGCAAGAGGCGAGAGCAGCGGAGATCAACTATGCGTACAGGTACAATGCTTGAACGGAGACTGACATTGCGGAGTGCTCACGGTGGATCGACCTGGACAAGGGGCAGGTTGGTCATTCAAGAACTTCGGCCGCCCCATATTCAGGCGATATTCGCCGCGACGCCACCTCTTGAATCGATTCGTATCCTGCAGAGTTTGCAGAGGACTGGCGACAAACGAGATCACCTTGGGAGAATGCAGAAAGTCATGTTTCTGGATGTGAGAAGAGCGCATTGGAACGCGAAGATTTACAGATTGGTTTATGCAGCGGCTTGCTGGGAGTTGGATTTTTCACGACGGCAGGGTCCTGTCCTGGCATCGGGTCACCGGTTTCATTTTGCAATCAGACGAGGGGCCTGAAGTTGACGCTGCATGGTGACGACATCACGGCATTGGGGTTTGAAGACGATCTGTCAAGATTGGAAGAGTGATATGAAATTGAAGTCTCGCGGTTTGCTTGGACCTGACAGCGCAGATGTTCAAGATGTGAGCGTGTTGAATCGATTGGTGCGTTTTCGGGAACATTCCACAACCATTGAAGCTGACCCGCGGCATGGGAGATTGTGCTGAATGCGTTGAACTTGCAGGGCAAGACCACTGTGAGCCCAGGCGTGCGCAGCGACCTTGCTGAGGAACCACCTTTGAGCGCGTCTGAGGCTTCAAGGTTTCGTAGCCTGGGGATGCGATGCAACAACTTGGCGTTGGGTCGACCTGACGTAACTATGCTTCGAAAGAGTTGGCGAG